GGAAGCTTAAATGATTTTCAGGGGGGATGGAGAGGAAATCAGTCGTCGTAAGAGATTATAGTGATCTCTTGGTCGTAAGAGTAAGCCCCCCCACCCCCGAGATAAGTAATGACAGGTTACTATGAACCATTTGGAGAAGAATAAACTGTCGTGTTCCAGTCACAGTATTTCGAGTCAACTTGGGTTTCTGCAAAATTTACTTCAGCTGGAAGGAAACTTCAAAATATTAGCTCGGTAATCTGTAAAAACACAATTAACAACAAAATATCAGGTGACCAAGGATGAGGAACATTCAGAAAACAGATTGCTTCATAATAATCTTAAAAATTAAGGCTAAATTTTTCCTAAAACTCATGAAGCACATACCGTGGTAAGGTTACCATGTCCACATTAAAATTTCGATCTGCAGCTGTACTGATACGAACTCTCAAGCCTTGATTAGCTAACTCATACAAAGAGGAACTAAATGATCGAACCTCCTTGGTACGAAGGCAATATATCATTTGAACTGAAACAACAGCTAAATTAGTCCAAAACGTTCAACTCAACCCTTACGTGCAGCAATCAGCTTGAAAACCACAAAAGGAATATAGATTTTGTCTAAGATTGCTGCTAAAGATTTTAGACGGTGATATTTGTGTACGGTGTAGAATTCTCGAAACTGCTTTATACCTTGTATTTCGACTTAAGCGAAGCACATCCGTTTTTTTATGCCCACACTCAAGACCTCTTAATCTTAGCTCCATTGTTAAGAATCACAAACTTTTAGGAATGCACTTTATCACGCAATAATATAATCTTTATACTCTCCCACCGACGCAGCACCACAGTTTCTCTAGAAACTTACCCCCTTTATTCATAATTTAAATTCGGCTGTTTTGCAGGTGCTGCTAGGATCCCAGTCTCCTTGCGATTTCATTTCCCTCCTTCCAACGCTTATTACAACCACCCAAACCAAAATCCATGCAAGGAACATTACATGTCATTGTTAAATGCATCAAGAGTCTAACTTAAACGACAAAAACACTAATTTCTGTTTAATAATCGTTTATCATTTTGCTTTAATAAAAAATGATGGTACCTTTATTTTCTCTCGTTTTCTTGAAGGAACTGTGAGCTTCATTTACAAACTTGCACCAATTTTTCTAATATTATCTCTTGATGCTACTTATAAACTAAGGCATATGTTGTTGAACCGTTTCTGTAAACTGCAGTTCAAGATGCTTATCTTTTCAATAAAAATTCAACTTTCTCCGCGCAAGAAAATTTTCCTGCCTTCTCGAATGTAAAACTGCGCTTAGGCATGTGCTTCGTTCCCTTCTGAGTTAGAAAAAAATTTAAACAATTAAGTCGTTTACTTTGGAAAAACTGTTGGTACACTTTTTCAGCTACTTAGGTTAAGGCAAGATGGAAGCTCTCCGGCTCTCTCTCCTTAAGGACTCTCCACTGAACGCAATCAAGGCTTCAATATAAGGAGGTCTTAAAAGATGTTCAAAATCATATATTTCAGCCAGTTTAAATTTGTTCTGAAACAGGGTTTTTACCCGCTTTTCTACTCTTCTTGGAAATCAAATCATTTGTAGTCGAATTGTTTTCAAGAAATATTAACATAAGCGGCGGAGAACTAAAACGATATCTAAAAAGGGGCTAAAGATGATCGATATTTTACGCAGAAAAAGTTAAAGTTTAACGAGACAAACAGCACCAGATTTTTTTAATTATGATTATTTTTAGCTTAAAACTAGCGTGTTATCTAGTTTGGCACCCATGTGTCGTCAATTTGCGGTTTTAAATATCTGTTATATCGGCCTTGTTCTGATTTTTGCTGAAGTTGTACGTGACATTTAAGGTAAACATCAACCTACGTAACAAAGAGAGGGCATAGGTTGAAAACTTGTTGACAATATTAAAAAAGGGATGTGTGGCTTTTAGTATTGAAACTGTACTACGGAAACCGGTTACGTTTTCCCAGCCCACCCATTGTGGGAAGCCTTGCTTTAACCAAAACTGCTACATCAACAACAAACTGAAGCAAGAAAAGAGTGATAAAAAACCTAGAAATTGCTAAACAAAGTGTACATTTGCGAAATCTTCTTGTCCTCTGTGTCACGCACACTAAGCATTTAGGTCCGCTCTCAGGATTGACTGGTTTAACAGGTAAAACAAGTAACCACATCAAAATAACGACAAAATGAAACTATGTTGATGGTCAGATTTTTTTAGAAATAAACTTCTGTGTTGTATAAATTGAAACAATTATTTCCATATATCATAGGTGTTTAGAAATTCTAATTTGTTATCAGCCAAACTGGGAGATCTCTTTTAATACTACTAATCAAACCGTGTTAATTTGGATCGTTTTGATAGCTTGTTTTTCTCCACGGGGCACCGTAGTTGCATGATTCGCCTTTTAAAACCAATCCAGCTTATTGTTTTTATGTTCAACAGATCAAGAACCGGAAAAAGGTGGAATTTCCTGCAACTTGATTTTATTGCTCGATGCAGACAGCAAATACAATAGAGTCGATACTGAAACGTGATGTTGTTCTCTGAGATAAAGGACTGATTACTAAATACTGATGCTGGCTTAAGTTAGAACCTTTCCGGTTTTTATTAAACATTATCGCAGGAATGTTAGCTCCTGAAAAGGAAAATAGTCGAGTTCACTGTGTAATTAGCTTGGAAAAGGACCTGGAGGATTCTAAGAATTTTCTCATTAGCTCGATTGGTGCCAATTTCACTCAGTATTCAGGAAAATTGTCTCTTTTCCTAATGTGGTGGGTGATCTGATGTTGATATTAATAAAAACTTACTCTTTCCGTCCTAAGATGAAAATATGTTTGTCTCCCGGCAGTGTCTTGATATCATTACTAGGTGAATGAAGCGTTAATAGCTTTTTTCTCCCGAGGAAAACGGAAAAATACAGCTTGAAGTGTGTGTAAACAACAAACCATGCGTCAGTCTAGATGAAACAGAAAAGAAACTTGCTCTTTCAGATTGTTTAGCTGAGATATACGTTTGAGCGTAACATAAAGCAAAAACAAATCTTGGTTTGATTTTTTTTTAGTGTATATTGAGAAGCTTTTGGCTCTTTTACCGGGCTCCGTAAATACTTCATGTATAAAGCCCGAAATTCCTGCCATATTATTTCAACTGCGTCACTTACTTGCTGTAAACAACAGCTTAGTCAAAATCCTGGTGAAGGGGAGAGAAATTAAGAAAAGTTAAAACAAAAAACCGGATAAGCTGGATGCAAACCTGCTTATCCTCAAATGAAGAATTGATTTTCTTCTGTTTGCGGGTGTGTGTAAGGCCTCCAGATTCATGACCTCTGGGCAAAAGCGCTTAAAACAGAAAGAACCATCTTTTGACTACCAAGTATGAGCCGAACGATATATTCAAATAACCATTCTCAATTAAAAGTAGCTTCATGATCAAAACTGTTTTAACTAAACAAGTCATGATACCTTCGTTAAAACAAACATATTAACACGAGTCCTCTTCTGTATTTAGGTTCAGCCAATTATATTATCGCACTCAGGAAATACCATCAAGTCGCGCCAAGCTTATATCATCGGTACCCTCAGCACGAACCTTGTCCTAACCTCATGCATACATGTTGATTTAAGCTTTTTGTTGTTGTTTATCATAACAATATTGTTAGATTTTCCAAAGGCTCTTTCCGTTGCATCTAAACAGCTGGAGCAGTCATGTATAGTATTTTTCTTTCTCTACAGTAACAAGCAGAAACAGTCAGGAACAATCCAGCAAATATCATTGTCTTTTCTTCTCTTTTCACCGACACAAGCTGCAAAACGTTTGAATACCTTGGTGTTAGCTTTACATCATTTATAATTTAAGTTCTGGGAATTCGGATTTAAATCAAACAAGATCCTACACAAGAGGATCTTATACTTCAAGCTGAATTTAACTGTCTTTTCTTACTTTCATCGCCGCTATGCTAGACCATATATCAGAAACGGCCTAACATCTTATTTGTAAAATTGTTTGGGTTCGCTACGGGGATGTATTAACGGTTCATTGTTTTCGAGCTTAGTAACCGCTACCTTCTTCCAAAAAAATATGGCGGTGTGATCGGGTAAGGCCTTCCGGTCTGATATTGCTAGGCAACGAGACCTTCAACCCCCGCCAAACATTGAATCATCATCCCTACCTTATCGCAGCGATGACAAAATAGAATGTTATGGTGGAAATGCTCGTTCTAAGCTAAAGAATAGCTTGTTTACTTGGATCTTTCCTCGTTAAATTTGTCCGTGATTACAGAATACTTTTAACCAAGCTAAGTTCAATCTTTCTTTGTGCCGTGTTATAGAATTCAAACACATTTGGTCCTGAAGCTATTTTTCCTGTTGGTTTTAAAGTAGATAAAAAAACTGATGTTCTATTCGAAGCCCTTTTTTTCGCGCTTCAATACGCTGCTGCAATAGCTGCCGCGATGATTCGTGAGGAGGTGGGAAATTTAGAAGGTGGAAGTCACTTGAGATTTATGGCCCAGACAGAGTTTCATCTGATCAACGGAGTCAAATACTTGAGCCGTTGAATGTTAAATTTGAAACTTTTCCAAAACGTGAACTTCGCCAACACAGACAATTTTCTAAACTTGAATTTCTTTGCAGTGCATTGAGAATGTTGATTAACTGTGTTATACCTTTGCAAGAAATATTAAGTTTCGTTCTATACAAGATTATGAGTGTTTAATGTGAATGTTTGGAAGACTTTAAAGGGATGAGTAGCCACGGAATCTTTATACTGTAAAATTAAAGTTTAATGATATCAAATGCGGCGTGATAAGTTCGTTAATAAGTAAAAAAACACTTGAAACCATAAACGAGATCGGAAACCCATGAATGTCTACACTGGTTATAAAAATATTCGACAGGTCACGAGTTCTAAGCAAATAATACGTTAAAACAACTTCATCAAATGATTAATGAAGCGTTTAAACAAAGAGAGCTTATTCCTTACAGACGTTTGTTTTTACGCTGGTAGATTTCAAATGGGTTTGTTTACTTCGCTCAAGCGTGACGTAAAACCATGAGCCTTTGATAAGGTCTTGCACTACGCCTATTTTTAGATCTAACTGAAATTTCGATATTTTTTTCTTTTGAGCGTAAAGAAATCGATGAAAGAAATCAGAAAGAAGGTCGATGAGAAGAAAGGCCGTGGGCGCTTCTCTCTCCCTTATTGCGCACAGTTTTGCTCACATCAGCACTTTCGCTTTGTGTCATAATTTGTTTTGAAAATTACAATATGCAATATCCCATTGAGAAATTCAAAGTTAGCACAGCTTCCTGCTAAAATGAAAAATATCGCGTTATCCGTTTTAGGCTCCGACGCTTGTGTTGTTTCAGCACGTAGAAAAAGTCCGGCTTGGCAATAACAACTTATTCATTGAGCAGTAGTGCCAATTAAAACGAAAACCTTTGCTGAATTTGCTTATCAAGACTTGGTTGCGCAACAATCCGGTTTAGTCATATCAAAACGTAATACTTCAAACGCCCACGGGCTTATTTACTCCCATCGAGGCAATGAAAAAAACGCGGAAAGTGTCCTGTTGACGTGGGCGAGGGCGGATTATGAAAGGAAAGGGGGGGGGGGGGGGGGGGGGGGGGGAACTTTCCTTATGATTTGTGCTAAACTAGTCACCTGGGCTCCGGGGAGTGGTATTCCTTTTGATATCTCATATGTAGGTGGGTCACCCGTGCAAAGTACCCTTACAGTTATCAGGTATACCAAAGAGTTGGAAAGGTACGAAAGGGAGGGGAATTCTATCACAACGCTTTTAATCAAGTTCTTCCCAACTAGGTTATTCATGGGGGTGCCATTTTTCATTGGTATGTATACGAAAGTGTATCTGAAGTTGCAAATGAAAAGAGGGGAGATTCAGTCTCAAGAGTAACCCTCCCCCCCCACCCCTGTATAAAACTCTGTTGAGTACATCTCCCCAGGGCTTCATCCCACAGTAGTTTGAAGAATGGCTGCGTCAGACAGTCTTTCGGAAATGGCTCAGCTTTAGTGAAAGCGGAAAAACACGATACGTCGGAAGGCGTTGAGAAGCAAAATGGTTCCTTCCTTCACTACTACGTCCTGGACATGTTTGATACTTATCGTCTGAGTTTTCGCAAAGTCTACGCTATCCTCTCCTTCTCTACCCTCAAGGGAAACGCACGACCCCCTTAGCCAAAGCACTCGTGTCCCAACTTGTCGATTTCGTTACCCCAGCCCAATGAAAAGAACGCCAAAACTGCTTCATCAGTGTCTTATGACTGAAAGGTGACCCCTAATTCCGGTAGGTGGCTAAATGTGTTAGCTTCGTCGCGAGTTTGAGGGTTCCATTTGAAAACTGATCGCTTCCGTTTGAATAATTAATCGTTTGGTTTATTTACGCGACCGATCTGTGCTTGAAGGCCTACAAAACAGTCTTTCAGGAACCAGGCGAAAAAGCAACTTCTTCGAATCATGAAATGAAATTACGAATTATTGACGGTCAACAAAGGCTGAGAGAAGTATTCTATTCAGTCGAACGCGCGACATACAAGTTATCTAGTCAGAAGAACAGCATTGCGCATGCGTCATAATGATTATAAAAATAGAGGCAAATACAGTTGGCGCCAGTAAGTCTGGAAGACCGGAAATCGTGCTGTTGAACTTGCCGGCAAAACGCGTGAGGCTAAAATTCCACTTCTCTCAAGCCGGATCTCGCGTGTATTAAAACTCTAACTCGTTGTTTATCCTTCTTCTTTCCAATCAAGCTTACTTTCTTCGATTTTTTTCTCTTCTGTCATCCCGTAGAAGAGAAATTCAAATCGTAGCCTGTGACAACTTTTGCCCTGAAGGTTACAAGTTTTAATTAGTGCCAGAATGTTGCTCACGAGATGTATGGGTTGAAAATTTCTCTGATGAAAAATTTAAGTTTTAACTACGGCTTCTCAGGGTAATTGCTAACTATCATGCGGATTAAGCATGTCACAGAAGATGATTTCTCCTCCCAGTTTACTAACGAAAACAAACTTTAGCTGCAATATTTAATGGAGTCTTATTAACAAAATACCGGAAACACACGTATTAATCACTGCTTGAAGTTCAACTTTGGAGCATTTTCAACCTCCCATCTTGCAGAAGGAATTAGAACATCGTGGAAAAGATCAACTCTTGGGGTCGATTGGAAACCGAATGAGACCATACCTCGACTCATTCGCTGAGTATAGAAGCTAAAAATAAACCATACGAGTGAATGGCTACTACGACTGTGTAACAGTTATTGACAAAACAACCACAACAACTGCTCGAGGCAAACTTTTCGTGCTTGCTACCACAGAGGTTGAACAAAGTAAATTATATTTCCTTCCCTACGATTCTCAGTCGCTGCCATGTTACAACTTCTGACAAAAATAAATGATAAAAAACACGTTTCATTTTGAGTTTGAGAACTTTCTACATTTATTTAAGGAGATATTTCATAATTATATTTACAATCTGTATATCTAACAATAACCAACTAACTAATACATATATACAACTTCTTCGGAATCTATGAATTGAAGGAATTTCCCACAAATATCATTCAATATTTTTAACTATTTACAAATCTTCCTGAACATAAATTATAAATCTGGAATTGGAGAGGGTTTCTTTATCAAAATTGATGCTGTAGGAGTATACAATGAATTTTAATAAAGGAAATTCCTTTATCGATAGAATTATCGTCAGTTATGAAGGTTATTGGCTGCGCGAGAAGACTAATGGTAGAGGTATTGATCGTAAACGTGTTAAATGGAGTACGTGTCTGGCAAAGTTTAAAGAAGTGTGTAACTCTGTACAAACTAGTCGATGAGCACAAAAGTGTGCTTACAGTTTAATTGCATACAATGCAAAGTTCCCTCAAGATTATTCAAACTACCACAAAATGGTTTCAATGTGCTATACAAAACTATAACTTCAATTTCTAAACAACTTTAAAACGATTTCGTTCGCTCTATCCTTAAAGAAAGTGTATATCTCTCCGATACGAAATAGTTTTAAACTTTCTCGGCATAACCTCTGTTAATTGTAACTCTTTCATTAAAGATCATTGCTTGCCGTCCTTTTGTTTCCGGAGAATAATTCTAAGTTCTGTTATAATCTATCAGCTTGATTTGAATTCAACCTTTTGACAGCTCCAACGAACAACGTTCAACTCAAGTCTTCGACTTCGCCGTCTAAACTACAGTCGCTCGAGAGCGTACTCGTCGTGGAACTTGGGGTTTGAGGTGTTCTGAGTTGCCTTTCAAACTCCAATAGTTGTCCCATAAAGTTCAAATTTGGATTAACACTCGGCTTTCTTTGTTTCACGAAGTCGTAAGCTTCATTTAAAGTCATGTTGAGGGCTGATATTAAGTAGGCGATAGTTACAGTCACCGAACGCGAGACTCCGGCAAGACAATGAATTAAAACTCCACGGTTCTGTGTGATGCCCTCATCTGGAAAAAGGAAGAAAACAAGTTTTGATTATTAGGAGTGCAGGTATCAAAACTTAAGTTAAGCCGCAAATTCAATATCCAGTCAATAAAGCAATGGATAGTGGTTACGCTACACTGAAGAAGGAAATTAGAAATTCTTGCTTTAGCGGCAAAATCTATTCAAAGCGGACCACGAGTGTATAGCGAGTATAATTTATTAGAGAAGCGACTAAAATCTAGCCAAAAATGTTTTAGCGATTACCCATGGGGTATCTGTATAGATGATTACTTTAGTTCAATTCTGAGCGATATTTACGTCAGATGACAACGTAGTAGCTTTCTTCAATGTACCAACCAGCATTAAACAAACAAACGCCGAGTGAATGCACCAGCGCTCGTTTCTCGAGTCCATAACCACCCACTCACTTGATTAATAAACGACTTTTTTTTCGAATTACCGAACTCACTTGCTCTAAAAAGTTGTTCCAGTTACGTATAAAAAGTAACAAATTATTTCTACGGGGGGCGTTTGCCGCTAAGAATTACAACTTTCCCGCAATGCCACGGTTGCTATATCTCGCTATTTTTTATCCATCAAATCTACTACATCGAAAAAAAAACATTAATCGATCTTCGAGCGAAAAAAAATATTAGTGTTAACAAACTCACCTATGAACTGAAATGCCTCTGGAAACATGTCGGATAGATTAGCTCTCCAGTTGTCTTCTACTGGGAGTTTCTTGTATTTAAAATCAGGCAAATGTTCGAAAGAGTTCGGCTTGTCGTGTGTAACGTTTAAGATATACGAAATTTCGTATTTCTTTAAGAGTTCCAAATCTGAAGAATCCTTTTCGCTGCCAAGGTATAAACGAGGTAGGATCTGAACAGGGACTTTTGTCGTGGACTCTTGGTGATCAGTGATTTGTGGTGTAATTGGTTCAAGTTTCAACGCGCGGTCATTGATGTCGGTGTCTTGTATCGTCAATCCTGACAGAGACAGCAGTGGTCTATCGACGAGTTCTCCAGCGACGCAAAAACTGGGATACTTATTCTCAAACTTCGTAAAGCCACCTGAAAAACATCGGAACAAATCGTTGTAATTAGTGAGTGGCGTATATTAGATTAAATGCGGGCGAGATTAGTTCAAAAACAAACAAAATTCTGATGGTGTCCCCTTTTGAATCAGCAAATGAGCAAGCGACAGACTGTCGAAAATTTAGTTACACGCCAGTCAACTAAATTTGAGGACAAAAGTACGATTGTTAAATTAAATACAAATCTTTAATCTTACCTTCAAGTAACCAAACTGGCGTATTGACATCTTCGGAAAACTTCTTCAGCAAGACTCCTAAGGCACTGTTTGAACATACGCTCGACACATCGTTCGTTTCCGAATCGTACAAAACTATTCCCGACGCCAGGCGAAGATTCCTGTTAAACTGAGCCTTGCCATCCTCCGAAGTGATCAGTGAACTTATGGCGAAGTTTGCGCCTTTCTTTAGTCTTCGTAGCATGAGGGAAGGAATAGTTAAATTAATCGCGCCCTGTACATGGGACTGAGCATACTCGGCGTACGGTCGGCAGTCGAGAAGTAACAAGATTGCTCCATTGCTCAGTTGGTCTGACAACCATGAAATTGTGGCGCCTTTGGCCATGTATTTCTTCTTCTCCCCTTGAATTCTTCGATAACTCCTTGGGCTGTCCACGTAAAGTAATGAAGGCATTTCAAACTCGGTTCAACGTTTGAGGTTCGCTAAAGCTACGCTCTTAGAGAAAGTGATTTGATGTTTTCCTTTCACACACCAACATAACCATTTGATTCGGTGAAATGAACACATTGTATTTAGCGTTGAGATGATTGACAGTCATTATCTACTTATGTGTTGGTATTTCGTAACTATCCAATCAGAGTCTTCCTCGCTGAGAGAGGCGCTCTTTCGTCATGATTTCCATAGCAACATATCAGGACTTGAAAGAAAAGGAGGGGTAACCCGTTCTCTCACCTGTCAAATGCTTCCGGTTAAGTGAAAGCTAAAAATTATCATAACAGGCCTTGCGAAATGCTGTAATAATACACTCGGAGTTGGCCAAAGTGCTCTACATATTCGGCAGTAATGAACAGCGTAGCGACAGGGGCATAATGTTTATTCGTGGACATGCGATTTTACGACTTGGTTAAAGAACAACGAAGTTTTTTTTTTAACCGTATCCCGCTGGTTCGGAACACATCAATATCTAGGGCGCGGTAGTAATTACTCATAATTGCTATTCAAAAAGCGCTTGCCTTCCTTTACGTAACAATACCGAAATCCTGCCCTTTGTTCGCTTCACGGTCGAACGATCGGCTTCAGACACTAAAAGTATCATCGATAAAGTTGGAATTGGTGAAAATTTTTCACTATTTCGGAAGGAAAATTGTTTAAAATAACTTTTCGTAATGGTTTTTGGCCCATGCTATCCTGTTACAAGCTCGATTTCATTTTCAGAATATTTCAAAACATGTTGAGGTCACTAGGTCGCGCTGAAAGACTCGGAATATTTCCTGGTGGCCAATCAGCGACAAGTTGTCATATTTTCTGGTTTGTTCTTAGCATGTTACCTTAATTAATAATTATTCGAACGGAAATCCAATGCCATACCCAAGAAATCCTGAAAAAAAACTTTTTAAAATAACCACAGATATTGAACAAAGTCTATTTTCGTGTCTTTTGTTAATCTTAAAACATACTTCAGTTTTTAGTTCGAAACTTTTTCTTTTCGAGTTTAATTGACTTTCACTGTTCTACAAAACAGCAATACGAGGGAACGGAACAAACACAGTTTGCTCACAGCTTCAAGCTTCTTTAAGAAAGTTCTCAAGTTTATCGAGTCTGATAACAGCTTTATTAAACTACAGCATTCACACGTATTGACACTAAAGCCTTACTTTACCTTACTGTACGGAAGCGGGATAAATTTTTGGCATATTGAAGGTCCGGGGCTGAATGGGCCGCAAAAACCGCTAGTCTTAAACGGAAAATAAATGTCTAACCCGTGATGCGTCAACGCCCTGATAGTAAATTAGCGACGATGTGTCCGCTTATGACTTTTTCATGCCAAACCGCAACGGAAAATCTAGGAAAGAAAGCAGTTTCCCAGTTCGCCTTGCTTTAAGCATATGCTCTACATTGTGATGTTATAGTGAGGAAAAACGAAAAACGCGGTAAAAAGATCAAATTGATTGACAATATTACAGTAATTTTTAATCCATTCCTTATGGGTGATCTAGACTAATTCGAAATTGAAAAAGAGATTAATTAACGTTTTATTTTGAATTTCAACCTAACCCGAAACCAAAATAAAGGAAAAACGTTTATTTAATTTCAGTTTAGACTGCTTCAAGATGAGCAGTTAAGGAAGACTTTTGCGTGCTCATTATGAAATTTAAAGGCGTTGGGGGAAGGAAGATTAATACTGCCGAGCCTACTTGCTTGCTAATCCAGGAAAAAAAATAACATACCTCTTGATTTCAAAAGGCTCTTAGAGAAAATTAGCTTGTGTGTCCCAAAGAGTAATATCTATAAGCTTAGAGTATTTTGACAAGTCGACGTGTGAGTTACCGCGCCCTATTCAGGCTTGTCGACCAATATTTCAGCTGTGGTTCACTAGCGAATATCGCCGGAAAACGGGCTGACAGCTTGACTGCCATACCCAAAACACTTGAAACTAGCGGTAAACCATCAATAATATAGATTCTGGAGTATGATCTGCGATTCGTACAGCGACAAAAATAGTCAGTATTTTGCAGTCATATGCTAGCTAGAGAAACCTGATATCAATTTGCGCGGCATGTCAAATTCGGTTTACAAGCACCTCTGAGTTGTAAGGGTCAGTGTTAAATCTCCCTAGATTTTCTCAGTTATTTTAGGATCTCACATCAGTCACCTTTACAACACTGCCAGCACCCCCTTCCGACATTTCCTATCTGGCGACATCTGGAACCTCGAAGTTCATGCTTCGATTGTATCAATAACAGGCTTCACAATTTTGTCGCCATCTACACGGCCCCCTCGCTGTTCCTTGTCAGTATGAACGGGTAAAACAAGGACTTTGATTTTATGGGTGAGCAGAAAAAGTAGAACCTGCATTTTTTTTTTGTTTCTCTACCCTCGCCGGTTGCAATGTTCGAGATTATAAACTGCTTTGCATAACTCACTGGGCCTTACAAATTCCCCCTCCGTCACCTTAGCTTGAGCACGGCTTATTGTTAAACTGATTTACGGTACATGTACCCACAGGGGAGCGAATGTCTTTTTTATCTTCTTTAGTTTTGTAGAGTCGCTGATGCGCGCTTAAGTTCCCAGGGTGGTTCCTTTTCAGCTTTTCTGTATTCTATATATGGTCTTCAATAGTGATTACTTCCAAATGGAATACGTCTCGAAGAATCGCAGAAATTCCTTGAGGCAGGACAAAGTTAGGGAAATGAACCAACGCTCTGTAATTGTCAATAGAGCTTTTGGAGTCAGTTACATTACCTTCCATACATAGCCTGATTTTAAAAAATGCCGACTCGCCCAGTAAATCAGTGGGATGTGAAATGAGGTTCGTGGTCATCGATTCTGTGGTTATTTTGAGTGTTCTAGAGGACTGTACAAAAAAAAACCATTGCCATTTTGAGATGACTTCTCTAATGGTGCTAAATATACGAGACTTTAGAAAAAGCTAGAACATATGGAAATATTAGTTTCCCGGAGAGTAAAAATCATATGCTAGAAAGAATAAACCAGAAAAAAGTCAGTTTGAGATGGAAAAGATTGAACACGGTTTGTATTTGACAATCTTGGAAAATTTGGGTTAGCTATATACCATAAGTTGCTTTCTTGGGATCAAGCTCGATGCAAATCCTCGTTCCCAGGTCGATGTGAGAAGGGAGGAACAGTACCCTTGGAAATATTACGTCCGTTTTAGATTACATCAGAAGGCCCATTTAGTTTCTGTTTTCGATGATTAAGAATGATAAATAGTTTTGACATCACAAAGGGAGCTGAGATCTTATTTAAGTAGTCTCTTCAACTTCTTCTTTCTGGCCATCTTCTCTTCATGATTTACGTAGCTTTTCAATATATTTGTAATCAGGTGAAATAGAGTTTTTATGAGTGTTTTACTATAAAATACCTTAATTAAAGACTTCTTGCAATAACAACATAAACATTGAAAACGCAGGCAAAATGAAGTTCATTAAAAGACAAGAGTTATTTCTGATGAATATCTTTTGTGTGGCAATTGCACAAGGGCCGGCTTCATTTATCTTTTGTTCTGTCTATTTATGCAGTATTTTGATGCCGTTCTTTATTTGATTCATGCTTTCTCTTTCAGTGTATTGTTCTGAATTACTTTTGTTTTATTTTTGACAAAGGTGGCTGTAATGGAATTATCAGTAATCCCAGTGTCTATTCGTATTTACCCTGGGGCGGAACCCTATTAATCAGCAGTTACAAAACAAACCTTTCGTCGATAAAATGAAACGTTCTAACCTGTTAAAAATAAATTTCCGCTAAAATGAAGATTATTGCAAATTATTTCCGCTTCATTTTTCTATCATCTGTCAGTTATCTTAAACCACAGCGAGCAGAGAAGGACGGAAAGAGGTGGAGGATAATTTATTGGTAAATCTTCTATAGATAGAATATGACTTTCGCTCCCCAAACCTTTCCTCCCAAATACCGCTATCTTTGGTTACAATTAGCATTGTAACAATGTCAGAGAGGTCTTAACTATTTAAAAATGCTTAACTTTTTTATAATATCCCGTTTTGGACTTGACCTGAGCCTGTTTGAGATTTTTTAGAGTCTAAGCGAATTTTTAAGAATCCCAACTTAAAATGGTTCACGCCAACAAGAATTGAGGCAAATCAATGTCTGATATTTTGTGTCGGTAGAATGAGGTTGGCAAACTGTTTATACGTGATACGTGATTAAGCCCAAAATCTATCCGCGACGCGTGAATTTTTCAGAAAGGCAGGTCAAGCTGAGATTTGAAGTTTTCCCTTTTAAATTCGTGACGCTTGAGAGTTCTGTTTAAAGTACACGTGACGCTTGGATGTTTTCCTTCCCCCCTTGCTAGTCTTTAGAATCTTTTGTGTTGCGTGACAAGCTGATACAACAACTTCAAGGGAGATTGCAAGAGTACCTGTCGCTGATTGTTTATGGCAAGGACAAAGTTGTCATTGCTATGGAAAACCACGGAGAACTAACCGAATGTTCTACATTTTCGACTAAACAATTTAGGAACGGAACCGATGGTTTCCACTGAGCTCGGCCCCACCGCTATGAATGCATTGACAGAAATAAATTCTAATTAAACAGGCATTCTTCGTCAAAGGAAGATTTAATCCCTCTTCTGACTTGTGTCAAGTCGTGTAAATTGAAATAAACTTCACTAATTTTTACCTGTTTCGAACTGAATTTATTGGTGTAAAAAACTTCTTAATCCAACGATAACTGTGCAAAGCGACACGAAACTGATTGCGAAAGAAAAGCGTTGAGTTAAAGTTAAGCATGTTAAGTCATCAATAATTTTCCGAAATCGACGTAAACGCGTGGGAGTTGATTAGAAATACAGAGCAAATAAAATAACACCAAAATGACAGGTTTGAAATGCTTACTTTCGATCTTCTCCCTTTATTCAGTGTTAAATTACAATTCTTCGACCTCCGGCTTTTTTAAACAACTTTGCAAAAACATTTTGCTATCATTGGCGAGAAAACTCAGTTCTTCACCTCTTCTACAATTTTTTAGCTTGTGAAACGACATAATTGACGCCGAGAAAGATTAGTACATTGGTGAATGA